CTTGACACATTGCAAGGAGAAAACAAGCACATAACTGAGTCAGCTTGCAAGGCGGGGAACCGCGATGGGAGTGTGTCAGAAGTTCAGAGATCCAGGAAAGCATCCCAGGGGATGTGAGAGTGAAAGACCGAGGCAAGAATCCCCAGCACTTTCTACACTCAGGGTGCTGTCATCACCCTAGGATTCAGACAGGGCCACTGTCATTCCCATAGCAAGCGACGGGTAGAGCACCGGAGTGGACAGATAAGGGGTTCAAGGCCTGGGTCCGGTGCGTCCTGGCTGTGACTCTGCAAGCCTCCTAGCCCTCAGGTGGTCTAAGGAACTCTTAGATCGAGGGTTATAGAGAAGGAGCCCACCCACAGCAGTAAGGAGGAGCTCCCTACCTCGAAGAAATCACAGAGCTGGCCCCACTCTACACGGCCCCTATAAAAAGTGTACAGGGAAAAACATTAATGTAGTCTACAAAATTAAGTTTATGAATAATTAAAATTCGCCTGAATAACCAAACTATGTTGAGGCAGAACTCATAATGCCAAGTAAGATCTCTAATGATAAAACTGACAATAACAACAATAAAAATGATAATAATTATAGTTAACACCTACATAAGGTTTGCAAAGTACTTTACAAGTATCTCTTTGTATCCTTACGACAATTCTGGGTGCCATTACTATCCCCATTTTAGAGAGCAGGAAAGTAAAACAAAAGTCAAGTGACTTGTCCAGAGTCACACAGCTCAGCAGTGTCTGAACTTGGTCCTCAGTAAGGAGCTGAACTTGGGTCTTTCTGCCTCCAGCTGCCATAGGAATGATCCTATGGTTCAGAGTTCACAGGAGCCTCAGAGATCATTCTAGTCTGATCCTCTCATTTTACAGACGAGGAAACTGAGGCTGGAGGACCAAGTGACCTGCCTCTGGTCACACAGGCAGCAGACGGAAGAGGTGGAAACCCATGTCTCTGACCCTAAAGCCAGGGCTCCTTCCAGAGCCTCCCAAATGAGCAAGCCTATAGAAGCACAAGCCCAGAAAACTAAACTAAATGAGTAGAGTGGGTATCAGTGGCACAGTGGGTAGAGCACCAGGCCTGGAGCCAGGAAGATTTATCTTTCTGAGTTCAAATCGGGCCTCAGGCACTTGCTCGGTGCATGACCCTGGGCAAGTCACTTTACTCCGTTTGCCTCAGTTTCCTAATGAGCCAGAGAAGGAAATGGCAAACCAACCCACTATCATTGCTGAGAAAACCCCACATGGGGTCACGACGAGTCAGACATGACGAAAAATGATTCAACAGCAACAACAACAACATAGAGTAGGTGTAACAGATAGAGGACAGGCCCTTGGGTCAAGGAAACTGGGGCTTACCTTAGCCTGGAATATCGGATCTACGGGACCACGATCACTGGGCACACCAGTGCCCCTAGTCAAGATCCATGCTATTAATTATGGATGAGTCACTGATCTGTATTAGCAAAGGATGCTTCCATACTTGGAGGACCTTGCACTGATGATCTCACAAGTGCAGACCTCAATCTCTCCTATCAAAAATAAAAATTGAAGGGCGTCTGGGGGCGCAGTGGATAGAGCCCTGGAGTGAGGAGGACCTGAGTTCAAATCCAGTCTCAGACACTTGTCACTTACTAGCTGTGTGAGCCTGGGCAAGTCATTTAACCCCAACTGCCTCACCAAAAAAATAAAACAAAAAGCAAAAAAAAAAAATAAAAATAAAAATTGAGGAAAAGAATGTCCAGGGCATTTCATGTTCTGGAAAACGAATCACAATTTTAAAAATTAATAAGTTACGTCAAAAGTAACAAGAGAAACAAAAACTAAGACAGACAAAGGACTTCCCAAACTCTTTTCTCTGACTTGACAAGCCCATGAATTGGCCATGGAACAGGTGACTATTTAATCCACTAGCTAATGCCTCAAGTCAATCACTCCTCCCCATGTCAGGTTGCGAGGCTTCCTAAGAAAGAACAAGATGGAACTTTGGTTGACACTGGCAGAATGGTCAAAGCCACCACGCTGGCTCTCCTAAAGACCCCTGACTACACCCCATTTCTTATGGTCCTGTGAGATTTCAGAAGTTCTCATTCTAAAATGGGCAATCCAGGCTAAGTGGGCATCCTCAATGGAGGCCTTTCTAGGGAGGCCAGAAGCTCTATGCCCTGGCCAATGGGTATTTACTGAGCTGTTAGAGGCCACTGGGGCTAAGTACCCTGCAGTACCTGAAACACCAAAGGCATGAAGATGGCCTCAAGAAGCTTACGGTCTTAATGGAGCAGATGAAAATGGAAACAGTCCAAGGACAAGGAAGGGCTGGTGGCCACAATGGACTTACAGTTAGAAAGATCCAAGTTTGAATCCTGCCTCAAGCACATGGGAAGGAAGGAAGGACAGAATCTCAAGGAAGAATTGGTCCAACATCACAGGCTGCAGGGAGGCCAAGAAGAGTCACAGAGAAGAAAATATCAATGGATTTAGAGAGATGATTCTTGGTGACCTTCAAGGGTTTGGGTTCAATACGGTGAAGGAGCCCCGAATGAACGGAATTAGGTAAATGGGAAACAGTAAAAGCCCTGGTATAGACTAGGGTGTCAAAGTCAAACAGAAATGGATCCTTGACCTATGTTGACTTAGAAAATCAAAAATTAAAATTGTCTATATCGTAGTTTTATGTATTTTGTTAAACGTTCCTGGAAGTCGGCATCAAGTTTGACACCTCCAGTGCAGACGACTTCTTTGATTAATTCTGTCAATGAAAGGAATTAGAAAAATTGGAAAAAGTGGCAGGGTCCTGTGTAGGCATTTCACTCTTGTTTTCACATTAGGGTGGCAAGGTAAGAACCCACAGGGTGGAGACTGGAGATGCTGAGGAGAGACAAGGTCCCAGAACAAGGGCGAGGGCAGAGGACCAGAAGGAGCTTCCCTATAAGAGAGAAAGAGGAATCCTCTTCCTCTAAAGGAAAAATAATAGGACAGGTTCAGGAAGAGTGCTACATCTTGGCAAAGATGGCGGTACATTGGGGATTTCTTGCCAGATGGTCTCAATTTCCTCCTTAAATTGGTTTTGCTAACTATTCCAGAAGAGAACGATAGTTAGATGAATGTTTGTAATGTACTTGGAAAACACTCGATACGACCTTCCTCAGCCTAGAGTGCATCCATCTGCCTGGGCCCCAAGAGATGGCTCCATCTGTCTTCAGGCTTCATGTTTTTCCAAACCAGTCCTAAACAAATCCATGTATAATTATAATCAAGGACCATTTCCCTTCTGTAATCAAAGATGATGGCGCTGGAGGCGTTGCTATCAGTATGTGTAAACAAGAGCAATAATGACCCTTGTAGGTCAGGGCACGTGAAGACATCTGGAGCAAACTACGCCATCCACGACAAAGCTTCCTAATGGCAGCAGTTCTCAGTGGTTTTGGCCTCACGTCCCCTCTGTGCTCTTAAAAATTATTGAGGAACCCCCCCCAAGCGCTTGTATATGGTGGAATCTATCTACTGAAATTTACCATCTTAGAAATGAAAATGCCTTAGTATTATTATGCAAATAGTTTCGACCTTGTGGACACCTTTTAAGGGTCTTGGGGAGCCCCAGGGGTCTGGGGACCACACTTGGAGAATCAATGCCCTGTAGTATTTATATAGTAGAGAGAGGGCTTGGCTATGAGCCCGGATCCACAGCTCTGCATCTCAGCTCTGACCACCAATAGTTGTGGGGGGATGCGACGGACCTTCGCTCTTGGAGCCTCAGTTTCCATCTGGAAACTGAGAATAGATATCCCTTCCACATCGTGGGGCTTAGGGATGCAGTGCTCCTGCAATCTGGAAAATCCATGTAAAAATTTTGGGCCCTTCTTTCGTACCAGAGAAGAAGTATGAATTATTATGGTATTAAAAGATAAAAGATGTTGATACTATACATATATTTCATGCATTTCTGAGTTTCTAAACTTTTCTGTGTTATCTGCTGGCCTTCACATGTTGTCTGAAGCTTCTGCAAAACTCCCCCAAAATTCCCATTTAATTTCTTATGCCAACCCACGACACATCAAAACCACGCCAGGGAAAGTCATGCTGTGGAAGGGATGGTGGTAATATTATTTCAGTGGCTATGAAGCACCTTACAGCCCTTATCTAGTTTGATCTTCACCGAGACATAACGAAATAAGCACTTTGGGGGTTACTTTCTTCATTTTACTGTGATCACAAAGCTAAGGAGGCAGGATCCAAGCCCAGGTTTGTTCTTCACTGTGCTGTGACTCTCGAGTTATTAGTCTACGGACACACACAAATGCACACTGAATTGAATAAACACCACTATATGGCATCATGTATAATATTATAAAACAGGATGTATTATTGTATAACATAATGTTATTATGTTATGTATCATATTATTTAATAATAACAGCTAATTTTTATGTAGTGCTTATTACGTGCCAGGCACGGTGGTAAGTCCTTCACAATACTCATCTCACGGCCTACCAAGAGAGGAAAGGCTTTACAGGAAAACCCATAATATGAGAATGTAAGTGACTATCACTGGATGGTAAGACATGACAGACATGGGGACAGCTGGGTAGCACAGCGGGTAGAGCAGCTGCCCTGGAGTTAGGAGGACGTGAGTTCAAATCCAGTGTCAGACACCTGACATGTACCAGCTGTGTGACCCTAGGCAGGTCACTTTGCCTCTCAAAAAACAGAAAGAAATTATGTATATGGGCAATTCGGAGACATCGGGAAGACTGGTATGAACCAAGCGGAGTGAAATCGGTGAACCAAAAGGACCACGTGACCGGCTACGACCATGTCAATTTTTAAAATCACCAAAAGGAAGCCCAACGCTAAGATAGTGTAGAGACAGTATAGCGCTATCTCAGGCAGAGAGGTGGGGGTCTACTATGGCAGAACGTTGTATACTATGTCATATGAAGCCACAGAGTCAGCATTTTTCTATCATTAGTTGGTATTATTATTCTTACAAAGGAAGCTTCATTTTAGATAGGCGTTGCCAGGGGGTATGAGCAGGGGTGGTCTCTTATCAGAGACCAAGAGAAGCGGCATCAATAAAAAGTCCTTTTCCTTGTTTTTAAGGAATAGGTGGAAGAACATTTTGCATCTCAGACACAGCCTCCAGACCGAAGCCTGGAAGGGTGAGATGACCACGCAGCACGCCTGCAGGAGACCCGGAAAGGTTGGCAGACATCTCCCGCGGGCCAGGGCTGTGTCTTTTCCTCCTCCACGTCTCTAGGAAGAGAGATCCCCAGCTTCCCTCAGTCACCCAGGAAGACGTCTTGTCTCTGTCCTGGTCGGGATCTGGGAGTTCTTCCTTCTGGACTGCCGTGTGGATGTTTCAGGGGGATGTGCACAGCTTGGCGTCTGTGTGTGTTTACAAGACAAAGGAAGTCCGAGTCTCCCATTTCAGGACTGGCAGAGACAGTCAACAGAGGAGGAAATGGTCTGCACAGAAAACCCTGGGACAAGATGGTGACCTCACGGTACGGGCAAACAGCCACCCTGACCGTTCCACCTTCCAAAGGCACGAGGCGTTTTTATTCTGCCTGTGACGCTTTTTGTATGAAAGAAAGAAAGTTCTCCAGCAGGCGCTGAAGGGAACCCTCTAGTCAGAAGCTGCAAGGTGTTTTATTCCTCATTTAAGAATATCTCTGACCCCCAAATTCTTGGGACATCTCCTGCAGATAAATGGAATCAGGGCAGTCAGTGATATCAAATACGCACAAGACACAACTCGAGGGACGTATGGAGAATGGGATCTGGAACAGTGGGTTTAGGCAGACTAGACAAAGCACTGGGCCTGGAGTCAGAAAGATACAAGTTCAAATCCAGCCTCAGACGTTTCCTAGCTGTGCGACCCCGGACATGTCACTTAACCCTGTTTGCCTCAGTTTCCTCATCTGTATGCATACTGCATGTATTGCAGCCAGGGCTTAGGGGAAAATGAAACAGGATTTCAGTGCTCAAATCGCTATCAGGGGCACCGGCCTTTTAAAAACTTGGGCCTCCATGCCCATGGCTGCTGGTCAGGAAGTCCCGGGTTTGGACCTGCCTCTGACATCCACTAGCTGTGTGATCCTCGACAATGCACACATCCTTTGTGAAGTCAGATTCCCCTTCGGTTAAAAAAAATGATAGAGTTGGACTAATATGGTCCATTCCAGTTAAAAAATCTGTGATGCTATGAACCTCAGTTTTCCTTGTAAAATGGGGATAATAGGTGTGCCCACTTTACCAAGCAGTTACGAAGCTCAGCAGTATTCTTCTTAACATGAGGCTGAGGCCAGCCACTGAAAAACATGGCGTCTCTGTCACCGAATGAATCCTGGAAGTGGATTTCGTAGGGTGGTCAAAGCAGATGTGATGTAGAGTGCCTTGTACCCATTAAACACTGATCCAGCGGCTGGTGGTCGGCTTCTGGTCAGGACGTTCTCAGGATCCTGGGGGAGCACAGAATCGGAACTGTCCTCTTCTAGGGGCAAAGCTTCCCACCTTGGCTGGATAGTCATGGAAGGGGAGGGACTCCTGGCAGGGACTGGGGCCTGACGGGAGCTTTCTGCCACCTCCACACACTCTACACACGAGGGACGTTGGTGGCTTATGTCAATCTACCTAAGTGGACTGAATTAGAATGGCTTCCCCTTCGTAGTACCATTACTTTGGGATTACCTATTCATCAGTGTTTAAAGGGCATCGGGTTCCATGTGGAATCCCCTCTCTGCTCTTCTGAGGAGCGCACAGAATTATTCATCAAATACAAAAAACATTCCCACAGGTGCACATTTCTGCCAAGGTAGAAAAGATGCTCTCCACCCAGTTATATTCTACAAAAAGAAACCACCAGAGGCTTTCCTGCTCATTCCTCTGTATGTGCAAACAGAAGAGTTAAAGACTTACTTGTAAAACAAGAGAGGAAGGCAAGGAAGAGGGGAGAGAGGAAGGCAAGGAAGAGAGAAAAGAGGAAGGAAGGAAGGAAGGAAGGAAGGAAGGAAGGAAGGAAGGAAGGAAGGAAGGAAGGAAGGAAGGAAGGAAGGAAGGAAGGAAGGAAGAAAAGAGGGAAGAAAGGAAAGGAAGGAAAGAAGAAAAGAGGGAAGGAAGGAAGGAAGGAAGGAAGGAAGGAGGGAGGGAGGGAGGAGGAAGTGAGGAGGGAGGGAGGAGGGAGGGAGGAAGTGAGGGAGGGAGGGAGGAGGAAAGAAGGGAGGGAGGGAGGGAGGGAGGAAGGGAGGGAGGAAGGAAGGAAGGAAGGGAGGAAGGAAGGAAGGGAGGAGAGGAAGGGAGGGAGGGAGGGAGGAAGGGAGGGAGGGAGGGAGGGAGGGGAAGGAAGGGAGGAAGGAAGGAAGGGAGGGAGGGAGGAAGGAAGGAAGGAAGGAAGGAAGGAAGGAAGGAAGGAAGGAAGGAAGGGAGGAAGGGAGGAAGGAGGAAGAAGGAAGGAAGGAAGGAAGGAAGGAAGGAAGGAAGGAAGGAAGGAAGGAAGGAGGAAGGGAGGAAGGGAGGAAGGAAGGAAGGAAGGAAGGAAGGAAGGGAGGAAGGGAGGAAGGGAGGGAGGGAGGGAGGGAGGAAGGAAGGAAGGAAGGAAGGGAGGGAGGGAGGGAGGGAGGGAGGGAGGAAGGGAGGAAGGAAGGAAGGGAGGGAGGGAGGAAGGAAGGAAGGAAGGAAGGGAAGAAGGGAGGAAGGGAGGGAGGGAGGAAGGAAGGAAGGAGGGAGGGAGGAAGGAAGGAAGGGAGGAAGGAAGGAGGAAGGAAGGAAGGAAGGGAAGAAAAGAGGGAAAGTAAGAATGAAAGAAAAAGGGAAGGAAAGGGAAAAGGGGGAAGAAGAAAGAGAAGAGGGGAAATAGGGGAAGGGAAAGAGGGAAAGGGAAAGGAAAGGAGAGAAAAAGAAAGGAAGGAAAGGGAAAGGAAAAAGGAAAGAAAAAGGCAAGGCATTTCCCTGGTCCACTCCATCTCTGCCATTCACCCCTCTACATCTCCCCTTGACTCCATCACAGACATTCATTCAAAGCCTGGCAAGTGTAATCTTGCCCTGCTATCCAAACTGAGGGATAGTTCCATCAACCTCCTCCCAATCTATGAACAGAGGTAAAAAAAACCCAAACCCTCCAAGCCACCTAATTCACATTGAGGGTTTGGACTACTTCTTCTACCCCAAGAGAATTCCTCGGCACCTTCCAAACAGCTCTTACATATATACAGACATGGTTGTTATTTGGTGCATTGGTATCTGCAAGGGCCAGTCTTTCTCAGGCAAAAGAAATAGATGGCTATTGCTGACTGGAGAACATTCTGTCTCTGCATGCAAAAGCTGAGGTCTTGTCTCCTTCATATTAAGATGCTGAGGTTTTGGCTCTCCTAGAATCTAGGCTAGCATTCAGATAAAGAATCCCAAGGGAAAACTCTTAACTCCATAAACCAAAGACCCCATTGTACTGTCAAAAGAACCTATCTCAAGGCCAATCCCCTTGGCACTAGGCAAGGTGGTGAAGAGATAACACAGTAGAGAGCTCTGTTCAGAGTTCATACCTTCTGATTGTTTATTGTTCTGATAAATCTAGGCAACTTCACGACATTGCATTATGCCTCCAACCTGGTGGAACGATCTCTCTCAAAGTCACCATTATGCTTGAATCTCAAAATTAAGCACAAATTAGTAGGGTTTGTTTGCCACACCCTAGTTTCTGCAAGCAACAGATCCCTGCATCCTAGATGGAAGTAAGAAAGACAAGCCTACCATCCCACCTAGCTAATCATGGCCCTATAACACCTGGGACCTAAAAATCAAAATCACGTCAGAGATTATGTCCTTTTTTGTATAAAAAAGGGAACTCGTAAGCTGTCCTTGGCATCAGCTCCCCAATCAGAGCTGCGCCACCTCCTCTTTGAGGCTGCCATCCCCGGGAGCCATCAGGAAAAAGCCACCACTTAGGACCTCATGGCTTCTGCACTTCCCAGACAGCCAATGGAGACCAAGCTTGGGGAGCCTCCCGAGGACCCGGAATTTCTACTGATTGCAAAATACTTCTTGAAGACATCTTGTTAGGCCGTCTTCCATGTCTGCGTTTCTTTGCTCCTTCGGGCCAGCACGTAGCTGATCTCAAAATCACTTATTTAGAGGGATAATCAATTAATTCCCTTTTTCAATGATTTCCAGTAGGGCCCTAAAATTATCCTAACTCACTTGGGGTCAGGAGAGACCAGACTTGAAGTCCTCATCATAGACACCTTCCAGTCACGTATCTTTGAGCAAGAGACTTATGCTAATTGCTTTCCTTAGACATCACTTTCAAAATCCTGCATTTCCTTCAATTACTGAGAAATATCATTCAGAGAAGGAATTCTCCACAGGCTTTAACAAAGGGGTCCATGACAGAAAAGTCAGCCAGGACCCTTCCACCACAGTTACCATGGGTTCATTTATCACCTCCATGTAGACGATTCCTTGATCTACATATCCAGCCTCTCTCCCTCTCTCTCCCCTTTCTTTTCTCTCTCTCCTCCCCCCTTCTCCCCATCCCCCTCTCTCCTCCCTTTCACCAACTGCTTCTTACTTATTCTGATACTTACTTAGCCTAATAACACATTTTAGAGAAACCTAGATGTCCTGCTGCTTTATACTCAGCTCCAACTTGGAATGAGACTTTCACAAAGTGTGACCAGGAAACAGACTCTGAGGAGGGGCACAGTGCTGGATTTGGGAAGACCTGAATTCAGATCCTGCCTTAGATAACTTACAATCTGTGTGAGCCTGAGCAAGCTGCTTAGTATTTGTCAGCCTCTGTTTCCTCATCTGTAAAATGGGGATGATAATGGTACCTAATTCATGTTATTTCACACATATATACACATATATGCACATATATACATAGACATACATATATAATAATATATGCATACATAACATATACATATAAAATCTATACATATATAATATAGACATGCATAGAAAATATATACAGATGTAATATATACATATATCATTATATAATTCTATAGATGTAGGCATGAATAGAAAATATATACAGATAGATATAATATATACATATATCATTATATAATTCTATAGATGTAGACGTGCATAGAAAATACATACAGATATAATACATACATACATATCACTATATAATTCTATAGATACTAGCTATTATAGTTATTGTCACCAGGAGTGAGTGTGCCAGAGTGCTGCTCAGACCACCGTCTTTCTTCAAGCTCTGTCTTATGCGTGAAGCTCGGCCACTGCTTAGGAAACGCCTTTGGGCTTTCTCGCTGTCTGAATGAAAGACTCTTTAGGCCAGCAATGTGGATGTAACATATCGACCCATGGAAACTCGGCTGTCCTCATCGCTCTCTCTCTCTCCACCAAAACTGTGCAAACTGCGTAGGACAGATGGTCGCCTAACCTGGAAACACGGTCACCCACTGGTGGGGGAGGGGAGTCGAGCAGACCAGGTCAGAGAATGTAGACTAGAGCCACCGGGCCTGGGCGGCAGCTGGCCAGAACAAGGGCCGGAGAGGCAATCAGTCCCTAGAAGAGACTACCAGGAAGTGACCTTATCTTAAGGCACTGCACTTGCACTCCAACAAATGCGTGTTTGGTGAATGAATGAAAATAAAACAGTCTAGAAAGCTAGGTGTTTGGGGGAGATTGAGGGGGCACAAAAAGCAAAGACCACAATAAAAACGTATTT